TCTTTCCCTTTCTGTCTCGCAAAGGCGAGTTAATGCAATTACTGATAGAGTAAATTTCATTAGGCGTGGAAGAATTATCTTCCAGAGCACATTTGTAGCTCCAGGTGGCTTCCTTCACTCTCTGTCATACTCTGAGACCACCGTCACCAATTAGAGCCATACTCAGGAGGAGTAGACTTGTTAAGAAAATGAGGCTAAGCACACCATAAGTGCTTCAACTAAACCAGGTGCTGTACCCCACAGTTAGGCATCAGTGACTTTGGTGGTCTTTACTTCTGGGATTTTTTTCCTGACCCCAGTCTTATGCAAACAGGGATAGGAGACAGTAATGTACAGTTGACCAGAGTTTGCAAAAAGCTATGTGTGTTGACTTTAAGATCCAAAGTTACAGTGCTGCCTCATGGTCAGGAGGACATAAGTGTTGAATCCCCCAAAAGTGGGAATCTTTGTTTTGCTGACTGATACATCCCAAGCACCCAGAACATATATGTAGAACATAGTAAGTACTCAATAAATATTTGTAGAATGAATGCCTGTGTGGCATGCACACTGCTCATTTAGAAAAACATTTGCCTGGATTATGGACCTGGGACCACAGAGCACAGATGTACTTTCCTGAGTCCTTACTGCTTGTCAGGCTCGTGCGTTTCATTTAATCCTGTCACAGTAGGTAGCACCCTGGGGTAAGTGCCTTGTTCTGACTTTCCCGAGGCACTGAGGTGAAGTCTCTTGCCCAAGGTCACCCCCTAGCGAAGGAAGGTCACAGGCAGGATTTCAACCCCGAGATCGGCCTAAAGTTCCTAACTTCCTACCTCCAAAATTCTTAACTTGTGTTACTGTTGAAACCTGTGACCTTTCTGGGTTTATCTGACCAGTTCAGGAAAGAAGCAGTGAGAAATTATGCAGAGGAAAAAGAGATCCCTTTTTTTGATTCCTCTCTTCCAGACCGAAAAGGATGGTATTTTTAATGACTTTTCCAATTTGGAAATAAAAGGGTCACACAGAAAGTTGACTGACCATAGTCAATCAGATCATACTGAGCAAAAGAAATGAATGGTTCTCAAGAGCAGTCTCTAGTTTCCAGAGCACCAGTGGGGGCAGTATTGTGTAACAAAATTAATTCTGTTGTTCCTCAGATTGGCTGTGTCCTCTTGGACAAAGCACTTTTCTGAGCCTCAGTTTCCTCATGGATAAGGTGGGATCGTTTTTCTCTGAAGTTAGATTTTTTTTTTTTTTCTAAATGGGCCTCTCTCTCTGACTATTCTTTTTCCTATTTCTTTTTAAATCAACTCCCATCACGAGGCTGACTTTCTGAGCACCGTCTATGTGTCAGCACTGTGCTAGACCCTCACCACGGGTCATCTCAACAACCTTATGTGGTCAGGATTATTGTCATTCTCCTCTACAGATGGGGCAGCTGAGACCCAGAGAGGTTAGGATACTTGCCCTGGGTCACACAGCTGGATTTGGCTGAGCTGGGATCTAGATTCAGGTGACCTGATTTCCAGGGCTTTGTTCTTAGCCCCACACTCTACCATCCTCAGGCCTCAACTCGAGACTCCTTGCCCTTCTTTATACCCACACCCTCAGGTACTAGTTTTACCTGATTTCATCCACTGCCTGGGAAGTCATTCCTGAACTCCAACCTAGCCCTCAATCTGAAGCCTCCTTTTGAGGCCTCAAGGGTATCTATCTCCTCTTGGAAGTTTTCAGGGGCCAAAAGACCTCAACAGAGTGAATCACTGCACACAGCCCTACCTCCACCACCCATCAAAACCTCGTTCTTCACCCCACCCTCACCACACAGGCCCCTCACTGGCCAACTCTTTATTTTATCTTATTTTTTAAAACAAACACCACATTTTAAAAAATATTTAATTTATTTATTTGGTTGTGCCAGGTCTTAGTGGCAGCAGGTGTGCTCCTTAGTTGCGGCTTGTGGGCTCCTTAGTTGCGGCACGTGTGCTCCTTAGTTGTGGATCACCGGCTCCTTAGTTGTGGCATGCGAATTCTTGGTTGCGGCATGCATGTGGCATCTAGTTCCCTGACCAGGGATTGAACCCGGGCCCCCTGCATTGGGAGAGCAACTCTTAACCGCTGTGCCACCAGGGAAGTCCCCCGACTGTTTAAAATGGAGTCAATCTGCCTTTTTTCTCTCACATAACTAGTCACCAAGGGACCTGATAATTCAAGTGCTTATTCAGTCCACATATTTACTGAGCACCTAGTATGTGTGAGTCGCCACGCAAGGTGCACTGGGAGTACAAGGGTGAACCCGGCCAGCCCCCGCACGCAAGGAAGTGCCGAGTTGTGCATAATAGCTTATAACGCAAGAAACAGGAATCGAATGCCCTTTGATCCCAGAGAAATACCTCAAGGCACAGCTGCTAGTTGTTCTGATTCAGATGGAGAGAAAACAACACTTAACATTTATCTGTATTTTATGTGCTTCCAAATCATGTAAATATTACTTAATATATATCAGGCACTGTACATGTTAACTCGTTAAATCCTCATAACAATTCTATGAGATAGAAGCTGTTATCCCCATCTTGTAGATGTGGCAACTGAGGCCCAGAGAGATTAGTGGCCCAAGGTCATACAGCTCGTAAGCGATGGAGCTGTAGTCTGTGCCCTGAGTACCATGCTGTACTTACTGCCTCTTGACATACGTGGGGATGATAAACCTGACTCCCTGGAGGGCTGCTCTGATGTCAAGTCTCACGCCACCAGCAGTGAGCTGCACTAGCCACGCAGGTAAAGACAAAGGAGCGAGAAACGACCTTCAGAGGCTCGGCAGGAAGGCCATGTTGGAGCTTTGCCTGGCAGAGACTGGGCAGGATTAGGATTTGGATTAGGGTGACCTGAAAGGAGGTTATCTTCGAGGAATTTTCAGGGATCAAGAGAATAGGACTGTAGAGCCCAGATTTTGTGTAAGGGATAGTCAGAGACAGGGTTGAAAGGTGGGGAGGGGCGTACAGCAGAAAGAATCCTTTGACAGGCTCTGTGTGAGAGCGTCACTGGAGGAAAGCACTGTTTTATGAAGATCTGTCTGTTGATGCCAGGCTCAGGGTGGGTTAGAGCAGGGAGAAAAATAAAAAGGAGAGAGGGCCAGTTGGGAGGTGTTTTCAGTCCAGACCTAGTCAAGAAAACAGAAAATACATTAGGCATTTCAACAGAGAGAGTTTAATATATGGAATTGGTTCGGCGTGTGTCAGAGAACTGAAAAAGCCAGAAGACAACGTTGTGATGACACAGAATTGGTGGGTGGCGGTCAGGGTTGTCAGAAGCTTGAAGAAGGGCCTCCCCCGACCCTGAGCTGGGATCCAGGCCTCTGAGGAGGGGGCACTGCCTGGCTGGGGTGGTACCCAGTGTGTGACGCCAGCACGTGCCACCCATCACTAGGACCCATTGCCCACTGGCCAGGAGCTCAGCCCCAAGTTTAGGGTGAGAAACCACCAAACCAATTCCAGACCATCCTGAGGGTCTGTGTCTCGAGGCCACTCCTGGTACCAAGTGCTACACGAGGCAGGGTCCAGGCAAAAAGCTGAAACTACATAGGTATCTCGACAGTGAGGATTTAGTGTGGGGTGTTCATTAAACGGGTACTGGAGGACTGGAAAGACAAAAGGGGGCAGTAAGGCAGCACAGAGAGTAGCAGCAGGAAGGAGCCTCATCCCAGGGCTGTGGGACGAGAGGGAAGAGGGCAGGTTGTCAGAACCTCGAAGCGCAGAAGGGTGCTGGGAGCTGAGCCGCAGATCTCTGAGAAGGGGACGCTGCCCACTGACGCTGGTGTCTCTGAGGGGGCATACTCAGGCTGGTCCAGAAGTGCAAAAACAAGTCACAGTTGGAGGCAGCGACTAACCTTTGCTGCTGTAGGCCATCAGTAGTAGGATAACACTAAGAGAAACAGCAAAGCCAAGGGGAAGGGGCAAGTCCCCCCCACCCGCCCGCCCCCAGCCTTCCAGCCTTACTCTTGAACTCACATCGGCAGAGCCGGACGGGAAATCCCTGGCAAAAGAGAAACGTGTGCAGAGTCCCAGCTCCAGCATCACAAGGCAGAGCATGGATGGGTGGGTTCGGGGCTGAGACAGGAGCCCAGGTGGAAGTTTGAAGTAACTCTAGGGCAGTGTTGGTCATGACAACAAAGGAGATGCGGGCTGGAGACCCAGAGAATGACGTAAGGAAAGAAGAGGCTGACTGGACTTGGGAGGAAGGAGAAGGAACCTTCAGAGGTGACCGTGGGTGAAGTCTGGGGACATCGAGAGTGGTGAAGAGAACAAGTAAGATAAATGGGCGAGACTGCTCAGGACCAGCCTGGCTGTAGGCACTGAGATCCAGTGGAAGGCCTGACATTGCAGTGGAAACACCCACAGGGTGTTGGAAACACAGAGCTTGGGAGAGGGATCCTGGCACGAGAAGTGACAGTCGAGGTAACGAGAGTAAGTGGGACCGAGTAGATGGGAACAGAGGACCAAGGACAGGCCCACAGGAGTGTCCACATTTGGGAGGCAGGCAGAGCAGCCAGAGGACCAGGCCATTGCGGGGTACCCGGGGCCAGAGGGCTGCTGGGGTTGGGATGCTGCTTCAAGCCGATTCATCCTTCAGAGGCATTGGGGAGCGTGAGAACTGAGGGAAAACCATAGGACTTGGCGATTATGAGGTCGCAGGTGACCTTGCATCGTGCCCTTGCAGATGGCACCCTCTCCATCAAGCAGTGCAACCACCCCCCGCCATCACCCCTGGGCTTAGCCTCCTCCAGGGAAGTCCTCCCCGCTGATGAAACCCCTCATCAGCTTCTCTCCTCCCTGCACCCTCAGACGCCTTGATTCTCAGCTTGTGCTATTTGAATTTGCACTTGTCATTTTATTGCCCTGCAAATGTGTTTTATCAGTGGTCTCGCCTTCCTGGGCTCACTCGGATCCCTCCTCAGCCGACACAGGCGGTTTTCCAGAAGTGTGGGTGACTCTGACTGACAGTCGGAAGCAAGAGTTATGAAACTAACCAGAACAAATCTGTGGGGAATTTCACAAGCGGGAAGAGCCAATTTCCAGCCGGATTCAGAAGCAAAATTGAAGTCGGAAGGGTGGATGCAGTCATTGCACGAGGTGTGCTGTGTTTGCCCTGAGATGGGTGGGTACCCAGTGAAAGTCCAGCCCACGGTCCCCCCCGGTGTCCCGGAAGGCTGCGGGGATGAAGACCTGCAGGGGCAGTGTTAGAAATGGGTCAGAAGGGTCCCTCAGCTCTAGGAGAGGAGTGGGATCTGGCGGAGAGAGGGCGATGTTGGAATCCTAGGCAGGTTACCCAGCTTCTCTGAGCCTCAGTATCTTCATCTATCAAATGAGGTTAATGATAGTCCCCCGGGGTGGGGGGGGGGGGGTGGGG